ACCCTTCCCCTATAGCACGCTTAGACCTGAAATGACCCTAGACCCTAAGAAATATGCATATATTGTTTTTGAGCATGCTCCTCCCCTACCATGCCAGAATATCAGTTTAACATGCTGAGAAAATCTGAGCCTTAAACCTCGGACTCCAATAAATGTCACTGGGGTTCAAATCCTAAATCACGTACGCCCCAGCCCTGATCCCTAAAGCCTCTGCATCGTTGCACCCTCACTCCCTAGACCCCCAGCCCTTTGAAATCCTGCGAACACCACATTAGGACCCCAGCGGAAGCTGCATATCACTGCTAACACCGCGCCGGCGATCACTGCTTACAGACTGCCACACAGCTTTGAGTTTAGCATTCCGGGTTTCGGGGTTAAGGAGGCAGGTTTCAAGGACTAGGCATTGGGACTTAGGGTGTAGGCATGCAGGTGATAGGAGACATGCTCCGCCCAGGATTTAGGATCTGGGGCTGTAGAATCTAGAGGTTCAAGGTTTGGTCTTTCCCATGTTTGTCAAGCCCTGTCTTTCTCGTTCATTGGTCCTGCTTCATGACGCTAGAAGTTTGATGTGGTCATGTTTTCGCGTGTCTCTGATTGCAGACATTTCCTACATCTATGGATTAGAGCCCTAAACCCTAAACCCTAAACCTTAGAGGTTTAAGATTTGTGGGGCTTCAGTGTGACCGGCCTCTGGGTCTCCATGTTAAAAGGTGTCGTAGTTGAGTTCTGGCGGGCTCGATTCAACACGCGACCTCACGGTACTTCTAGTTTTGCCTGTAGCCTGAACAATTGGGGCTTGCGGTTCAAGGACAAGCCCAGTCCTAGCTTCAAACCTTCAGTTCTGGACCCTGGCGTCTAGTGATGCGCTGACTACACCTGAGATCTTCAAACCTCGAATGCTTGCTCTAAATCCTAAACCCTAAACCCTAAACCCTAAATCCTCAACCCTTCACTTCAAGCCCTCAGTGATGTAGGGGAAGAATTGGCTCCCAGAGGGTCTTGGGCATCTATAGACAACAAACAAAAAAAAAAGCGCGCCTCATTGGGGAACCTGGTGCCCCTTAACCTCACCCCTGGAGCTAGAATACTCAACCTTGGGTACTGGTTTAGGGTTTAGGGTTTAGGGTTGAATAATTAGTATTATATGGCTATATATAGCCCTTAATAGGACCCCTACTATAGACTGTTACCCAAAGCCCCTAACCCTTAGGGTTTAGGGTTTAGTGTCTATAACCCAAGTTCCCTCCCAACATCCCTGAGACGACGCCTCGCGCGAGTCGACCTGGAGTCCAAACACAGCTGTAGTCCAGGGCGATTCAGGGTTGAGGGTTTTTGGGTATGTTTGTGGGCTCCAGGTTTTCAGGGCTCGGGGTTTGAGAAGCATACCCTAAAGATATCAGAACAATGACAGTTCGATTTAAGGTATATTCCCTAACTTCGGGGAATTTCTCTCGCTGGGCAAGTTCGGTATCTGTCTTTGGATTTGAAGTTGAGGGACCCCCAAATAATAGAATCCTGATGCATGGCCTCTCTAGCCGCCATGCAGAGATATGCCCTAACCCCTAAACCCTGAACCCTAAACCCCTAACACCTAAACCCCTAAACCCTAAACCCTGAACCCGAACCCCTAAACGGCCCTAAGTCCTGAAACCAATGAGCCCGGACCCTCCAGGACAAAGGCCCCCGAAGCCGGAAGGGTGTGGAGCTCCAGGGTTTGGGGCTTAGGGGTCTAGGGATGTGGGGGTTTAGGGGTTTAGGGTTTAGGGGTTTAGGATTTGCGGGGTTAGGGTACAGGGGTTTAGGTGTTGGGGTTTTAGGGTTTGGGGGTT